TTTAGCACTGGCGTCCACACGTAAATTAAAGATAACAACAATACTGATGGAACCAGAACAATTGACTGTCTTAAATCTGTTAGAGATAAGAAACAACCGATATTGAATTCCGATTACCACAGGATGCAAAGGTAAACTGACTCCAGAGCCACGAGGGCACTGCTAGAGCCACGAGGGCACTGCCAGAGCTGCGAGGGCACTGCTAGAGCTGCGAGGGCACTACTAGAGCTGCGAGGGCACTGCTAGAGCTGCGAGGGCACTGCTAGAGCTGCGAGGGCACTGCCAGAGCTGCGAGGGCACTGCTAGAGCTGCGAGGGCACTGCTAGAGCTGCGAGGGCACTGCTAGAGCTGCGAGGGCACTGCTAGAGCTGCGAGGGCACTGCTAGAGCTGCGAGGGCACTGCTAGAGCTGCGAGGGCACTGCCAGAGCTGCGAGGGCACTGCCAGAGCTGCGAGGGCACTGCTAGAGCTGCGAGGGCACTGCTAGAGCTGCGAGGGCACTGCTAGAGCTGCGAGGGCACTGCTAGAGCTGTGAGGGCACTGCCAGAGCTGCGAGGGCACTACCAGAGCTGCGAGGGCACTGCTAGAGCTGCGAGGGCACTACTAGAGCTGCGAGGGCACTACTAGAGCTGCGAGGGCACTGCTAGAGCTGCGAGGGCACTGCTAGAGCTGTGAGGGCACTGCCAGAGCTGCGAGGGCACTACCAGAGCTGCGAGGGCACTGCTAGAGCTGCGAGGGCACTACTAGAGCTGCGAGGGCACTGCTAGAGCTGCGAGGGCACTACTAGAGCTGCGAGGGCACTACTAGAGCTGCGAGGGCACTGCTAGAGCTGCGAGGGCACTACTAGAGCTGCGAGGGCACTGCTAGAGCTGCGAGGGCTCTGCTAGAGCCACGAGGGCACTGCCAGAGCTGCGAGGGCACTGCCAGAGCTACGAGGGCACTGCTAGAGCTGCGAAGGCACTACTAGAGCTGCGAGGGCACTGCCAGAGCTGCGAGGGCACTGCTAGAGCTGCGAGGGCACTGCTAGAGCTGTGAGGGCACTGCCAGAGCTGCGAGGGCACTGCTAGAGCTGCGAGGGCACTGCTAGAGCTGTGAGGGCACTGCTAGAGCTGCGAGGGCACTGCCAGAGCTGCGAGGGCACTACCAGAGCTGCGAGGGCACTGCTAGAGCTGCGAGGGCACTACTAGAGCTGCGAGGGCACTGCTAGAGCTGCGAGGGCACTACTAGAGCTGCGAGGGCACTACTAGAGCTGCGAGGGCACTGCTAGAGCTGCGAGGGCACTAGTAGAGCTGCGAGGGCACTGCTAGAGCTGCGAGGGCACTGCCAGAGCTGCGAGGGCACTACTAGAGCTGCGAGGGCACTGCTAGAGCTGTGAGGGCACTGCCAGAGCTGCGAGGGCACTGCTAGAGCTGTGAGGGCACTGCCAGAGCTGCGAGGGCACTACCAGAGCTGCGAGGGCACTTCTAGAGCTGCGAGGGCACTACTAGAGCTGCGAGGGCACTGCTAGAGCTGCGAGGGCACTACTAGAGCTGCGAGGGCACTACTAGAGCTGCGAGGGCACTGCTAGAGCTGCGAGGGCACTACTAGAGCTGTGAGGGCACTGCCAGAGCTGCGAGGGCACTGCTAGAGCTGCGAGGGCACTACTAGAGCTGCGAGGGCACTGCTAGAGCTGCGAGGGCTCTGCTAGAGCCACGAGGGCACTGCCAGAGCTGCGAGGGCACTGCCAGAGCTGCGAGGGCACTGATAGAGCTGCGAAGGCACTACTAGAGCTGCGAGGGCACTGCTAGAGCTGCGAGGGCACTGCTAGAGCTGCGAGGGCACTGCCAGAGCTGCGAGGGCACTACCAGAGCTGCGAGGGCACTGCTAGAGCTGCGAGGGCACTGCTAGAGCTGCGATGGCACTGCCAGAGCTGCGAGGGCACTGCTAGAGCTGCGTGGGCACTACTAGAGCTGCGAGGGCACTGCTAGAGCTGCGAGGGCTCTGCTAGAGCCACGAGGGCACTGCCAGAGCTGCGAGGGCACTGCCAGAGCTGCGAGGGCACTGATAGAGCTGCGAAGGCACTACTAGAGCTGCGAGGGCACTGCTAGAGCTGCGAAGGCACTGCCAGAGCTGCGAGGGCACTGCCAGAGCTACGAGGGCACTGCCAGAGCTGCGAGGGCACTGCCAGAGCTGCGAGGGCACTGCCAGAGCTGCGAGGGCACTGCCAGAGTGGAGGCTGACTCCATACACAGTTTCAAGTGTAGATATGATAGAGCCCGATAGGCTCAGGAACCTGTACACCAGTTGATTGACGGTTGAGAGGCGGGACCAAAGAGCCAGAGCTCAACCCCCGCAAACACAACTAGGTGAGTACAAACACCTCACAAACACTACCACACAAACACCACCCCACAAACACCACCCCACAAACACCACCACACAAACACCACCCCACAAACACCACCCCACAAACACCACCCCACAAACACCACCCCACAAACACTACCACACAAACACCACCCACAAACACCACCCCACAAACACCACCCCACAAACACCACCCCACAAACACCACCACACAAACACCACCACACAAACACCACCACACAAACACCACCCACAAACACCACCACACAAACACCACTACACAAGAACCACCACACAAACACCACTACACAAGAACCACCACACAAACACACCCCACACAAACACCACCACACAAACACCACCACACAAACACCACCACACAAACACCACCACACAACACACCACACCACCACCACACAAACACCACCACACAAACACCACCACACAAACACCACCACACAAACACCACCACACAACCACCACCACACAAACACCACCACACAAACACCACCACACAAACACCACCACACAAACACCACCACACAAACACCACCACACAAACACCACCACACAACCACCACCACACAAACACCACCACACAAACACCACCACACAAACACCACCACACAAACACCACCACACAAACACCACCACACAAACACCACCACACAAACACCACCACACAAACACCACCACACAAACACCACCACGCAAACACCACCACACAACCACCACCACACAAACACCACCACACAAGAATCACCACACTAACACCACCACACAAACACCACCACACAACCACCACCACACAAACACCACCACACAAGAATCACCACACTAACACCACCACACAAACACCACCACACAAACACCACCACACAAACACCACCACACAAACACCACCACACAAACACCACCACACAAACACCACCACACAAACACCACCACACAACCACCACCACACAAACACCACCACACAAGAATCACCACACAAACACCACCACACAAACACCACCACACAAACACCACCACACAAACACCACCACACAAACACCACCACACAAACACCACCACACAACCACCACCACACAAACACCACCACACAACCACCACCACACAAACACCACCACACAAACACACCCCACACAAACACCACCACACAAACACCACCACACAAACACCACCACACAAACACCACCACACAAACACCACCACACAAACACCACCACACAAACACACCCCACACAAACACCACCACACAAACACCATCACACAAACACCACCACACAAACACCACCACACAAACACCCCACACAAACACCACCACACAAACACCACCACACAAACACCACCACACAAACACCACCCCACAAACACCACCACACAAACACCACCACACAAACACCACCACACAAACACCACCCCACAAACACCACCCCACAAACACCACCACACAAACACACCCCACACAAACACCACCACACAAACACCACCACACAAACACCACCACACAAACACCACCACACAAACACCACCCCACAAACACACCCCACACAAACACCACCACACAAACACCACCACACAAACACCACCACACAAACACCACCCCACAACCACCACCACACAAACACCACCACACAAACACCACCACACAAACACCACCCCACAAACACCACCCCACAAACACACCCCACACAAACACCACCACACAAACACCACCACACAAACACCACCACACAAACACCACCACACAAACACCACCACACAAACACCACCACACAAACACCACCACACAAACACCACCACACAAACACCACCACACAAACACACCCCACACAAACACCACCACACAAACACCACCACACAAACACCACCACACAAACACCACCACACAAACACCACCCTAAAACACCACCACACAAACACCACTACACAAGAATCACCACACAAACACCACCACACAAACATACACGCCCCAAATACCACACAAACACCGACCAGGAGCCAGTGTGGACAAACAGTATCCACCATAACGGAACACATTGGGCAGGGAGAGAGAGTGTGGCGTCTCAGAGCCTCCCCCACGCTGGGCACCAAACATACCCACCTGAGTGTGTGCCATGCCAATCTTGGCACCCAGCTGGCACCGTGGGATAGGGGGAGTGCCAGGGTGGGGCTAGGGGATAGGGGGAGTGCCAGGGTGGGGATAGGGGGAGTGCCAGGGTGGGGCTAGGGGATAGGGGGAATGCCAGGGTGGGGCTAGGGGATAGGGGGAGTGCCAGGGTGGGGCTAGGGGATAGGGGGAGTGCCAGGGTGGGGCTAGGGGATAGGGCGAGTGCCAGGGTGGGGCTAGGGGATTGGGGGAGTGCCAGGGTGGGGCTAGGGCATAGGGGGAGTGCCAGGGTGGGGCTAGGGGATAGGGGGAGTGCCAGGGTTGGGCTAGGGGATAGAGGGAGTGCCAGGGTGGGGCTAGGGGATAGGGGGAGTGCTAGGGTGGGGCTAGGGGATAGGAGGAGTGCCAGGGTGGGGCTAGGGGATAGGGGGAGTGCCTGGGTGGGGCTAGGGGATAGGGGGTGGAGGACAGGGATGGGAAGGTCCGGGGTTGTCCTGGGGTAAGGGAGGTGTGGCAGCACAGTTGGCTAGTGGCTCAGTGCTGGTCCAGCTACCGTGGCGGGAGGACGTGTGCTGCGTGTGTCTCTGGCCTCGCTGGGCCATCGCGTGTGGTGGCAGGCAATTTGGAAAAGTTTGAAGTGTTGTCATTATTGTTGTGTTGTTTCTTAGCGAGTGAGCGGCGGCGCGATGTGAAAGGCTGCGGCGGTGATCTAGAACCATCTGGAACACAACCTGGAAAACTTTGTTGCAGAAATGATTAATTGTTGCGAGTGTGTGATCACTCCGGAGTATTACTCGGGTGTGGCTGTGCTCAGCTTGGTGATGAGACAACATGGCACCCGACCACACCTGACACTCAAGGCTTAATAACGCATTCATCACATTATCATAGATCTGAGCACCCTTAGGGAAGGTTTGTGATGAGTTGTTCAGCGTGCAGGAGTCAGGAGGCCCGGGGCGGGTGGCCCCTGGCCATCTTCTGCCTCTCCTTCACCTCTTCCCGGCTCCTGGCCACACTGTGGGGCCTCGTGGCCCTCACACAGCTTACAGGTAAGGCCACACCCTCCCCCCACCACCCTCCTGGCCACACTGTGGGGCCTCGTGGCCCTCACACAGCTTACAGGTAAGGCCACACCCTCCCCCCACCCTCCTGGCCACACTGTGGGGCCTCGTGGCCCTCACACAGCTTACAGGTAAGGCCACACCCTCCCCCCACCCTCCTGGCCACACTGTGGGGCCTCGTGGCCCTCACACAGCTTACAGGTAAGGCCACACCCTCCTGGCCACACTGTGGACCCTCCTGGCCACACTGTGGACCATCCTGGCCACACTGTGGACCCTCCTGGCCACACTGTGGACCCTCCTGGCCACACTGTGGACCCTCCTGGCCACACTGTGGACCCTCCTGGCCACACTGTGGACCCTCCTGGCCACACTGTGGACCCTCCTGGCCACACTGTGGACCCACCTGGCCACACTGTGGACCCTCCTGGCCACACTGTGGACCCTCCTGGCCACACTGTGGACCCTCCTGGCCACACTGTGGACCCTCCTGGCCACACTGTGGACCCTCCTGGCCACACTGTGGACCCTCCTGGCCACACTGTGGACCCTCCTGGCCACACTGTGGACCCTCCTGGCCACACTGTGGACCCTCCTGGCCACACTGTGGACCCTCCTGGCCACACTGTGGACCCTCCTGGCCACACTGTGGACCCTCCTGGCCACACTGTGGACCCTCCTGGCCACACTGTGGACCCTCCTGGCCACACTGTGGACCCTCCTGGCCACACTGTGGACCCTCCTGGCCACACTGTGGACCCTCCTGGCCACACTGTGGACCCTCCTGGCCACACTGTGGACCCTCCTGGCCACACTGTGGACCCTCCTGGCCACACTGTGGACCCTCCTGGCCACACTGTGGACCCTCCTGGCCACACTGTGGACCCTCCTGGCCACACTGTGGACCCTCCTGGCCACACTGTGGACCCTCCTGGCCACACTGTGGACCCTCCTGACCACACTGTGGATCCTCCTGGCCACACTGTGGGCCCTCCTGGCCACACTGTGGACCCTCCTGGCCACACTGTGGACCCACCTGGCCACACTGTGGACCCTCCTGGCCACACTGTGGACCGTCCTGGCCACACTGTGGACCCACCTGGCCACACTGTGGATCCTCCAGGCCACACTGTGGACCCTATTCTGGGGTCCACAGAATAGGGGTCAGAATAGACCCCTGAATACACTGTGGTATTCAGCATCAGCAGGACAAAGTGCCAAGCCATTATGACTATATTGCATCTGGAAGGAGTCAGGATAAGGATTTGGGATGGGACGGGGGGGGGGGATGGTGCCCAACCACTTGGACGATCTGAACACCGACCTGCATGAAGCGAGACCGTCGCTCTACCGTCCAGACCAAGATGTTGGGATAGTTACTGGGGAATCAGCTACGGTTCTAAGGCCCTGCGTCTCGACAATTAATCAACTGCTGTGGAACTTTCCGGGTCCCGGGCCGGGCTTGGCCAGTAGAACAACTCCCCGCCAAACACACGCCGAAACTACGACGTAGGTACAACGTTCGAACAAGTTTTGACACCTCCTAACCAGTTATAACAACAAATATAGCAAGTTGTAACAATGTTCTAATACGTCATAAACACGTTAAGCCAAGATGTAACAACTTTATTACAAGTTGTAACAAGCGGAAAATAGAGACAGTTTCGGTTTGTGTTTCCAGTGTCCCAGTACCCCGTCCAGGTACGATGGAGGCCTGTGGCATATATACACTGGAAGCCGTTAATGTAGTATCCCTACACTATTTCACTTCAAATCGTATTCCATCCGTACCATGTTCTGACAAAGACATATTTAAATCTGTGGCTCAGTTGGGTGCTTTGCTTGTATCTGTACCTTCTTATGTGCCACACAAGAGTCTTTTATTGTCTTCCCTGTCTATTACCTTACGTATTTTGTATGAGGTGATCATATCCTCCCTGTTCCTTCTTCCAGTAACCTAAGGCTACATTCCTTCAGTTTGTCCTTGTAACTCAAATCCCTAAATTTTTAGGAATAATTTGGTGGCATTCTTATGAACGTGGTGGTGGGTGACGCCTGTGGGGAACCGACCTGTGAGATTTATATTTATTTTATTTATATGAATTTATATAGTGTTTATATATACGTTAGTTAATATATTTCGATAGCTATTTGAATGATGTGTAGCGGACTGTATTTCTGCAATGTTCTCACAAATCGACTCGTTGCACATGGGGGGGGGGTTATATTAAATTTATATGAAGCCAATCAAACAACAGTATTAAACTACATATATTAGTAATGAAAATTGGGAGGTTTTGTCTTACTGCATGGCAGGCCTAGTCCACCAGGTATAAACATGGATGATGACACCAAAATAATCCTCGTGGTTGAGGCTAGCATTAACACCATGTACTGGTTTACTAGGATTAATTCTTGCTTCCTCTTCAAATGTTCCTGTCACAGGGCACTTGCTTTAAAGCCGGAATCCTATATATATGACAGCTATATCAGAGGAAATATTGGCATATGATTTATAAGAACCAAGAATAATTACCTGGATTATGTCACTTCTCATGCATGCCAACCGGGCCGCCCTATTTAGTAACCACATAAAATATATAATCGTAAAAGTTAGTAATCACACATTTGTGCATCAGTTCGTACAGGACGGATGTCCCGTACTAGAGTTGCAGGTGTTGGAAGTCTAATGCGATTTCATTTCCCTGTTAACCCTTCGGAGGCTAAAATTCTAGCCTAATTACATATTATTTAACCCAGAGGACTGAATGTGATCAAGTACTACAGTCAAGTGTGATTCAGGGACTGCAGTGACGTAGGTTATAATAACTTGACGCTTGTTTAGGTAACTGGTCACTCATATATGTACACTGAGACCCATGGAATACATCTTGATTAAATAATAAATGTATTAAATCAGTTGTTGGAGCTATATAGTCAGTCAAGTTCTCTTGTGCTTATTTGCTGGAGTTTATATGGCTGACAAATTGGGATTTAATTTAGTTAACTGATTCAGAGGATTGAATAGTCCATCATTAAAGTCAAGTATGGTTCTGAGACTGCAGTGGGTTCAGTGACATTGGTCGCAGTGACTTGTAGCTGTTTAGGCCACTGTTCACTGATTTGCCACTGAGGCCTCATGAACTCATCTTCAACTTTAAATGATGATATTAACATCAACCTCTGTTACTATAGTCAGCTGTAATCTCCTTAGTATAATGCTACTGGAGAAATATAATCAGCTGACAAATTTAGATTTCTACTGGTATTGTTTATCTGCAGCCATAGGTCTCCTCAGGCTTGATACTGGGCCTGAGAGTAATTTAGTTCCTGCAGAATTTAGCATGGTTATGCCCTGATATTTAGTAGGGCTACCAATGAATCGATGGTAGTAGTCTGTTCCTACAAGGATACCGAAGCCTTCTGCAGCCTCTATGTTTCACCTCACATTTATCCCTTATGTATCCCCCCATGTTTTCACCTTCATTGTATTATCACCTGACCTAATGCGGGTATAAAATCAACTAGTATTGTAAGATCTGTTCACTTGAGAATGAACCATGGAGGTTCGAAACGTCGTGCAAATTATACAAATAAGTGTAATACACTCTATAGTAAATCACTTCTTTTCTTCACCTTAAAAGTACGAAAATGAGTTTTGGAGAACTCCTATTTCAATTAAGCCCTGATGCTAAGAAAATAGAGGGATAGAAGCCCTAAACCAGAAAATAATAAATACAGAATATGCGGTCATATTCAATGAAACATATATATATATATATATATATATATATATATATATATATATATATATATATATATATATATATATGTCGTACCTAGTAGCCAGAACGCACTTCTCAGCCTACTATGCAAGGCCCGATTTGCCTAATAAGCCAAGTTTTCATGAATTAATTTTTTTTCGACTACCTAACCTACCTAACCTAACCTAACCTAACTTTTTCGGCTACCTAACCTAACCTAACCTATAAAGATAGGTTAGGTAGGGTTGGTTAGGTTCTGTCATATATCTATGTTAATTTTAACTCCAATAAAAAAAATTGACCTCATACATAATGAAATGGGTAGCTTTATCATTTCATAAGAAAAAAATTAGAGAAAATATATTATTTCACGAAAACTTGGCTTATTAGACAAATCGGGCCTTGCATAGTAGGCTGAGAAGTGCGTTCTGGCTACTAGGTACGACATATATATATATATATATATATATATATATATATATATATATATATATATATATGTCGTACCTAATAGCCAGAACGCACTTCTCGGCCTACTATGCAAGGCCCAATTTGCCTAATAAGCCAAGTTTTCCTGAATAAATATATTTTCACTAATTTTTTTCTTATGAAATGATAAAGCTACCCATTTCATCATATATGAGGTCAATTTTTTTTAATTAAAGAGTAAAATTAACGTAGATATATAACCGAACCTAACCAACCCTACCTAACCTAACCTAACCTATCTTTATAGGTTAGGTTAGGTTAGGTAGCAGAAAAAGTTAGGTTAGGTTAGGTTAGGTAGGTTAGGTAGTCGAAAAACATTAATTCATGAAAACTTGGCTTATTAGGCAAATCGGGCCTTGAATAGTAGGCTGAGAAGTGCCTTCTGGCTACTAGGTACGACATATATATATATGTCGTACCTAGTAGCCAGAACTCACTTCTATGCCTACTATGCAAGGCCCGATTTGCCTAATAAGCCAAGTTTTCATGAATTAATTGTTTTTCGACTACCTAACCTACCTAACCTAACCTAACCTAACGTTTTCGGCTACCTAACCTAACCTAACCTATAAAGATAGGTTAGGTTAGGTTAGGTAGGGTTGGTTAGGTTCGGTCATATATCTACGTTAATTTTAACTCCAATAAAAAAAAATGACCTCATACATAATGAAATGGGTAGCTTTATCATTTAATAAGAAAAAAAATAGAGAAAATATATTAATTCAGTAAAACTTG